GCAGGTCATGATATGCAGGTGGCCCCAATGTCACTGTGCCATGCAGTGGTGGTGCACTGGCCTTGCCAAGACTCTCCTCTTCATGCATAATGCTAGAGCCTGGGCAGGGAGGGTCATTCAGGCACAGTGGAAGTGGGGTGAGTGCTGGTTCACCAGGCCTGGCCAGGTCGATCCATGAGGGAACAGCAGAACTGGGGTGAGTGCTGGTCCACTAGGCCCAGTGAGCATAACTGTCCAGGAAGATGGCAATGGTAGCTCCTTTGCAATCGAGCTACAGTCAGAACAGACGGCCCCGCCTTCCCAGGAGATCATCAGATCTGGGAAATGACACAAGAGCAGCCACCAGGTGGCCCTCCACAACGACATGGGCAGAGACCAAGTAGTTCTGGATCTAGATAACGTTAATCACCAAAATGTACATTATACTGACAAAATAAAATATTAAAAAATGAAAGAGAAAAGAAACTAAACCAATTAGGTTAAACATAAATGGTCTATATAGAAAGTAAAAATAAATGTAAGAATAACTATAAAAATAAAATGGACTAAAATTATTTAAATATTGAATAAAAAGAAAATAAAAACAAAGTTTTAATAAACTTAATATTAGTTAAAATATCCCATAAAGTGAAATTCAATAAAATGTATGAAAATATAAATTATAATGAAACCTCATAGAACATTTCTAAAATCCATTGAGATGGAATCCAAATTGCATGAAATACTAAACATAATACTATCAAAATAATAGGAAGTTCTGGTGGCTTGGTGGTAAGGAATTGTGCTGCCAATCCAAAAGTCCATGGTTCAAATCTACCAGCTGCTCCACATGAGAAAGATGGACAATCCCCTTCAGCGATTTACTGCCTGATAGCCTGCTGGAAGAGCAACTATAAGTTGGTTCTGACTTGATGGTACCCAACATCACCAAAATCAAGAAAATAAAGTAATAAATAGCAGGTGATGGTGAATACTTTAGGTTGCAGAGAATTTAATATTAAATGCAATATAACTACATTAAAATGAAAAATTATAAAAATTAGATATTAAATAAGAAAAAATGAATTCGCAATTTAAATGATGTGACTGGCTCATCAGATTGTGAGGAATCATTTCATTCCTGTTAAACCACTTGGGACCCTTGGCCCAGTGAAGTTCGCACATGTTTTGGGGACAAACAATTCAACCTATGAAGACCCACTGCCACAAAGTATTAAGCAATAAAATTTAAAATGCAATAATTGAGAACCACTTTTTGCAAACTTCTACTCAGATTAAACTAAGAAATCTCTGAATCCGTCACTTCATTTGAAATAAGATCATTTAAAATAAAATACCTACAGGGTTTAGCATGTCAGGACATTTAAAAGGCATGAGGAGAGTTGCTACTTTTGTAAATTTGATGACCCACCAGTGGGTTTTCAGTGACAGTTTATCAGTGGAAAAGACTGCCCATTTGACTCCTGCAGAGCAGCTGGTGGATTTGAATCACATGCCTTTGGGTTGACAGCACAACTCCTCACTACTATGCCACCAGAGTTTCAAAATACTTTCCTCCAAGTTATAAATTTAAGGTGAAGTGATACTTCCTGACAGCTGTTTGTGGATTGGTGTATGTTTGGATGGCACACCCACTTCAGCACAAGCGGCTTGTAGGACCCCTCAGGAGCTCCCAGTTGGGATGTTCACTGTAAATTCTCTGAAGTCATCTGGATAGTGGTGGACTTTTTGTGGAAGATTTAAAACAACAGTCTGTTTAAGTCTGAGAGTAATCGTCTCAGCAGAATTAAGTTTATCATATCTATACCACAGCACAGAGTTTGGAGAAATCTATAGGAATTTATTCATTTATTTTGAGAATGTTCTCATTATGTTAGCTTTGACAAATGAAATTTGGTGTCCCATTAAGCTTCACATCACAGTTATCCATATAACACAACCCTTCATTAGGTCCTGTCCACCACTGTCTCTGGGTCTGCAAGGGAGAAGTCGCCATGAACAATGCTGTATGAGAATGCCCAGCACCACCCATAAAAAAACCTAGGTGGTGGAGTTTCACCTGCATCACAGAGCTAGTGAGAAGGTAGCCAGTAGTGGAACATTCTCTTGAGAAAAGCCTGAGTTATCTTCTTAGTTGCTGTTGTTTGCTGGTGACTCATAGCAACCCAATGTACAATAATTCTGAACCCTGCTCTATCCCAAGCCAACCTTATTGCCTCCGACACACCTACCCCATTATCCTAGTCACTGAGGCAATCCATTTCTCCCAGGGTCTTCTTTTCTTGCACTGTCCCTCCACCCTTCCAAGCATAATGTCCTTCTCCAAGGACTAGCCTCTCCTTGCAACGTGTACAAAGTATGTCAGACAGAGCTTCCGAATCCTTGCCTCCAAGGAGCAGCCTGCTTTCACCCTCTCCAGGACAAACCTATTTGTTTTCCTATCAGTCCATGGTATATTCAATACTTTTCTCTAGCACCACAGCTCAAAGGCATCAATTCTCCTTCTATAATCCTTAGTCACTGTTCAGCTTTTTGAAGCATAACATGTAATTGAGAAAACCATGGCCTGGATCAGGTGCACCTTAGTCTCCAGACTGATATCATTGCTCCTTAAACTTTTATTTAAATTAAAACTAAAAGTTTTAAAAGGGGAACGGTGGGAAACTAACACATGGTGGGGAGGGGAGAGAATCAATTGCCAGAAAGCAAATCACAAGTCCTTGGGTGCTGCAATGGTTAGGAGATCAACTACTAGCCTATGAGTCAAACTGACCAGAGGCAGCTCAGCAGAGATGAAGATAGGCTTCCAAAGGCTGGCAGCCTTAAAAATCCTGTGTGGGCAATTTACTCTGCACATGTGGATTCGCAATTTACTCTGCACATGTGGATTCACAATTAACTCAAAGCAACAATTAAATGTAAATCAAGGAGAGTTTAAAAAGTGAAACAGGGTTAACAATGTTGTTGTTTTTGTTATTGATTGCTGTCAAGTCAACCCATGAACAAAAGGCCTGAGGCCTTTCTATCTTTGTTTCTCCAAGTTCATAGAGTTTGCAGAGGCATGTGGTTTAGGTGGTGGATGCCACTCCTGCTTCCAAACTTGTCTTAAACTTGGAGCTCCACCAAAAACCGTCCACCATGGGCAGCCATTATGGCATTTGACCCCTAATGGCACACGGTTCAGCATCACAGGAAACACAGATTACCTCAGTGCAGCAAATTGACAGAGGAGTGCTATACAACTTAGAAGAATATCCCTTCAAAATAAAAACACTAGACCCTTGGGCCCAACCAACTTTTAAATACAAGGGATATATACATATGTATGTAAGTATGTATATGTGTGTGTATATATATATGGCTTCAGATCTTTTGTTTATATATACATACATATATATAAACAAAAGATCTTAAGGCTTTCTACAACTATCTTCATTTCTCCAAGTTCATAGCATTTCCTGAGGCGTGTGGTTTAGGAAGTGGACCCCACTCCCGCTTCCAAAATTGAATCAATCTTAAATCAATTTGAGAGCTCCACCAAACACTGTCCATGATGGTAGCATTATGGTGTTTGGCATATCTATGGCACAGTTGTTCCATTATGGCATTTGAAACCCAAATGGCACAAGATTCAGTGTCACAGCAAACCCAGTACCTTATCACACCAAAGTGGCCAGAGTGCTGTATGACTTAGAAGGTTCCAGGGGATTAAAATATAATCCTTCAGGCCCCATTTTTAAATATTAGGGCCCCCCAGGAGGTCTTGTTGACTTTGAACAAGAGTCTTAAATAAAAACAACCAAACAATCCACACAGATCCTCAACCAAAACATGAATACCATCTTACTGAATCCAGCTGCTTCATCCAACTCCAAAATGGAGACAAGGGCTTTGGCATTATATGTTGTTGTTAAGTGCCATGTAGACCAAACCTATAAACAAAAGAACTGTTGTCCTCCTTCTAAGTTCATAGCATTTTCACAGGCATGTTTAGGAAGTGGATGTCATTCCTTCTTCCAAGTCTGTCTTAATCAGTGAGTTCTACCAAACATTATCAATCATGTGTAACCACTGCGCCATTATGGCACACCATTTCATATCCTAGAAAGCAAAGTTACCTCAACACAGTGAATGGATAGAACAGTGCTGTACCACTTAGGAGAATGTTCATTTCAAAGACAATTAAAAACCAAATAAATTTTTAAAGACCCCATGGCCTGCATCGTGGGCTTATATTGGACATAAAAAGAGGTTTCCAGCCAACCAAATGCTCCACAGCCAGTCTCCAACCAGCACAGAGGGGAAAAAACAACACTGATTCCTTCCTCTAAGGCCACATGAGTTTCTAAAGTCCCCAAGTGAATTTTCAAAGACCCCATGGCCTGCATCCTGGGTTCTCATTGGCCAAAAAAAGTGTCTTCCAGCCAACCAAACACTCCGGAGCAATCCCCAGCCAGCACAGAAGAAAAAAAAAGTTTACTCTTGTAAGGCCATATGAGTTTCCAAAGACAGGGTTAACAACAGATAACGAAAAAAAAAAAATTTAAATCCACGTAATTAACATATTTTTATCCTGTTTAAATCTTAATCATCACTCTCATATTTGAAGAAGATTGTCAAGTTAGGGTATTAAAAACAGATGTGGAGGTAATATAAGATTTTTTTCTTTTAATTGTTCAAAATAAGTTTTTATTAAATAAGTTCATAATTAACACTTAAATAACAAAGAAAAGATAATGTACTAAGTTAATACATTGCTCAGTAAATGTAAAGTCGAACAACCTGGACCTGAAGCAGAGCGGGCACTGCTGAGGGTGTTCCTCAACTATGCACAGACTCTCTAGACAGTGAGAAGGTGTCCTCTCTAAGTGGCAGATGGGCTGAGTGTCCACACTGTCTTCACCCCAGGAGGGCTGGCTTTCCACCACGTCATCAAATAGCCCTGGATAGTACACAGTCCTACAGGCAATACTCCAGCTTACACAGGACTTTACACAGATGCTGCTCGGCCGGCCTAGCTCTCAGTCCCTCCAGCGGTGCCCACACTGGGCATTGCAGCACTTGTAGAAGGTGGTCATCGGCTCGTCAGCTGAGCGGGTCTGAAGTTGCATGAAGTAGGCACGGGGATGTTCACATTTGGGACATGACTCTGGCAATAAAAAAGAGAAGAAGTTTACATCACACACAACAATGCCCGTGATCAGGACACCAGAAGGAAGTGGGTGGCACTGAGGCCTGTGAAGACCTCTGTGGATCCTTTTCCTTGCCAAGGGTGATTTATTCCTTGGTGAAGGCGTGGACAGTGCAGGACTACATACACAAATGGTTGCATTATCCTCTCTGTGCTCTAACCACAGGAGATCAGGGGACCTGGAAAACTCTCCTGCCTCATCCTCTGGTCAGAGAGGTCTGGAGCGATAATCTAGAAGATGATTTTGGACCTGTATCTACAAATGTCTCTGGCAGGGGTATCACTTCATGAAAACAGGTTCTTGTCATTCTACTAAAACTCACCCTGAGCCACCCTCCCTACCCTGCTCAGGATTCACTTTGGCAGATTCCCCTCAGGCTGCTGGGCCCACGATCTCACCACACATCCTCTTCAAAGTGCCCCAAGACATGATTCCCCCCAAGATATTGTCACTCTGACAATGTGACAGTGCTCTCAGAACGTGCCATGCATTTCCACAGAAAGGTGGCAGAACTTGTATTCTAATCTTTAAGCTAACAGATCTAGATGTCCCTCTTTAAAGAAGAAAATGAAATAGGTGGCCTTAAGTTAGTGCATTTTCCTTTCCACAGCAGTTAGGTCTGGTCACAAGTAGCTCTCTCAGAAATAAATGAAATACACTTACTCTATCCACCTGGAAGTTTGATGGTCTTAGATATTTTTTTTAAGTTTACATTAAAATAAAGAGATCACATTTGTCCTTAACAATTTCTCCTTTTATTGCTACAATGACCACAGCTCTCATCTGTCAACTGCTTCCTGAACTCAAGGCCAAGAATCTAAAGTGGTCTATATGACTCCAAGGTTTATACCAATATTGTAGGTGTAACAAATATATTAGTAAAGGCTGAAAGCATGTAACTAAGTGTTGTACTTTTAGAAGCACATCCTAAGCACACTGTCACTGACCATGTGACACACAGATGCAACCAGCAGCCTTGCACTTCTCTACAGTGTGGTAACGGAAGTCACTCCTCACCTGCAGTGGAGTCAACATTCTCCCAGGCAGCTGCTCCTCCCAACACATCATCCACTTCTTTCAGCTTGGGATACTTCCGATTTGTCACCTGAGGAAAAAAAAAAGTCTTCAGACTCTCCAAGGAAGTGACTGGTACAAACCCTGAGTCATCAAACTACAAACAGCCCTTGAGTGTCTTCTCAGACTTCCCCCTGCCAACCAAGTGCCAGCTCTCGCAGGACAGCCCTGACACTCCGCTGGAACTCCGCTGGAACTCGATCTGAGATTAGGGTAACCACCAAGGGGAAAGAACAGTTTGAGCTACCACAGACCTGTGGTAGGATAGGAGGAATAAAACTGGGTTAGGGGGGCCCTCCTCCTCTCCTATCTCTCCAAGCCACTTGATAATTCAAGATGAAGAAACAAATAAATGAAAATCAAAGAGTACCACTTGGCCGGGGTAGCCCAGGCACTACCCACTCAAGCAGAGCAGGCTTTCAAAGAAAGTTACACTTGGCTTCTTCCTCAAGTTTCATAAGACAGTCTTGAAACATCAAGATTACAGAAGAATTCATTCTTCCCATAGTTTCAGGTGCTAAACACTCAACAATAGTTACACAACGGAGTGTTCTGCAAACACCTGAGTGGATGCAGCACTGACATACTCCATTTCTAAAAAGCACAGCGTTCAGGCTGTATTACCAAAGGAAATTACTAAAATTGTGTGCATTTATAATATAGCATACTCCAGGCCAGACTCAGGGATGCCAGAATCCATTCCAACTCCTTAACAACTCCAACTCGACGGCCCATCAAGCTTCCAACATTGTCAGTCTTTCTGGAAGCAATCTCATCTCTCCGGTGCAGCAGGATGTTGCTACGTGCCATCAAGTCAGAACCGACCCCAAGCTGAGCCTCCAGCAGGTATTGAGAGCAGAGTATTAATCGCAGTGGAGGAGATTGCCCATTCTTCTCCCACTGAGCAGCTGGTGGATTTGAACCACAGGCCTTCAGGACTGTAACAAAGCTTCTTGCCACTAGGCCACCAGAGCAGGACAGGTGGGTTAAAAGCACCCACTTTATGGTTAGCAGAGTTGTGCTTAACCACTGCACCACCAAGGGTGCTATTACAGAAGCTGCCTTCTTTACTAAACACGTATTCTACTGCAGGCTCCATTCCAGAGTATAGAAAATAACTTAATTGAGAAAACTCTGACTTCTGCTGTTTATGTTTTAGGATTAATAAAGAAGTCACTTGAGTAATATAGAGATGTCTGAAGACATTTCAGGGAGAAAAATGCAACAATAAATGACTGGAAACCCTAAGTCTCTGTAAACTTTCATTAAAATTAATTTTTAAAAAAATCCCCCCCCAAAAAAATCCCATAGTGAAAAAAAAAATGTCTGAAGGAAGTAGGTCCTTTTAAAAAACACAAAACAACTATGAGATCATCTCACCCCAGTAAGAATAGCAAAATTTAACAGAACAGCAAACAACAAATGCTGGAGAAGTTGCAGAGAAACAGGAACTTTTATTCACTGTTGGTGGGAGTGTAAAATGGTGCATCCACTACGGAAGGCTGTATGGTACTTTCTTAAAAAGTTGGGGAAAAAATATCATTTGACCCAACAACTCCACTACTGGGAATATACCCCAAAGAACTTTCACCCAAGCAGATATATGCACACCCATGTTTACTGCGGCTTTGTTCACAGTAACAAGGAGTTGGAAACAACCCAAGTGCCCATCAATGAACAAATGGATAGAAAAGCTGTGGTATACTCACACAATGGAATATTATGCAGCATTGAAAAACAAGGAACTCATGAAATATTATACAAAACGGGTGACTGTGGGAGCTCTGGTGGCCTAGTGGCTAGAAGCTGCACTGCAATCCCAGAGGTACATGGTGCAAATCCACCAGATGCTCTGCTGGAGCCAGAGAGTCAATCTCCTCCTGTACCAGTCAGATGTGATTTGACCGTACACACACAAAAAAGAAAATAAAAAAAAATTTTTAAAAAAAACCCAAAAAACAAAATGGGTGACTGTGGAGGACATTATGCTGAGTGAAATATCTCAGTCACAAATGGACAAATAATGCATAGTGCTACTGTTGTAAAATGGGACTGACATCGGGGTTGGGGAAAACTAAGAGGGAATAAATAATGTTTACCGCATTGAAATAGATGAGGGAGAGAACTGCTTAGGACGAATATATGATTAGGTATTACTGTTATGACCAGAGTCCAGAATGAAAAATGCATAGTGGAGTGAACTGGGGGGCGGGGGGGTAGGCACTGTAGAAAAAGTGATTTTTTTTTTTTACTTTTCAAAGAGAAAAGCGAACTGGGGGGTGGGGGGAGTGTGCAACAATGAATGAATGGTAATCCAAAGTCTCTGTAAACTTCCATCAAAATAAAAAAAATTTTTTTTAAAACCAAAAGCTAGCTACTAAGTGAATCAATTCATAGATAACCTGTGAGACAGTGCAGAAGCGCCCATAAAGTGTTCAAATTGTGATTTTTTTTTGGGGGGGGGGTAGAAGTAGACTCTATTGCAGTGCCGTGAAACCGGTTAGAAGCCCAATGCTTAATGTGCTGCGCCACCTGACCTACTCAATGACTGCTAAAAGAACAACTAGGAGATGGTGCGTCTCATACTTTGGGCATGTTGCTAGGAGAGGCTGTTCCTTGGAGAAGGAAGTCAGACTTGGAAAGGTGGAGGGTTGGGTCTGCGATGCAACACAAGATGGAATGACACAGTGGCTGCTGCGATGGGCTCAACTGTGTCTGAGATTGTGGATGGAACAAGATAGGACCGGGTTCAGATCTGTTGTTCACAGGGTCGCTATGAGTCGTACTCGACTCGCCGGCACCTAACAAGAGGAGGTAAAAATGGGGAGAGGGATGCACGTTTAAATAGTGCAATCATTTATGTAAAGAAAAGACTACCGAGCCATGTGGCTGTAGTCGCGTGGCAAGCCTAAGGACCGCGCCTGACCGAGCGCTGCAGGGGGGAAAGTAGAAGAGAGGAAGAAGGTTGGCCCAGAAGCCCTGCGGAAGCTTTTGGTTTTAAACCCGCCGGAGGCCAATGAAGTGGGGCCCTGATGCAGGGCATGCAGCCAGCCTTCTCCCGCGACAATTCTGGGACAACCGACGGGAAGCGCGGCTAGCTGAGAACAGAAAGCGGGAGGGTGTGGGACTCACCTTACGGGTGATGTTGTGCACGTAGGGGCAGGTGTTGCAGGCGAAGCGGTGGCAGCGCTGCCCCTCCTCCACGATGAGCCCATTCCCGCAGCCTGGGCAGAAGAGCAACATCGTAACCGAACTCAACCGATTCCCGGAAGGCTCTGCGGGCGCTTGGGTCTTAAAAGGAGGCCGGCGCTCGCCCCGCCTCGACCTTCCATTGGCTCACGCAGGATCTCACCAATAGACACCCTGGACTCGTTCTCCCATTAGGCTTTGCGACACGCTGTCACTCAATCCTAATTGGTCGTGGCTGCTCCCAAGCGCACTAGTAGGGATCCGGTTTCACTTGGCGTCGCACAGTATTCACTCATCTCTGCTCAGACCAACAAGCACGTTTGAGACCAGGACTGCAGCCTAGTCCTGGAGGGGGCGGAGGCCGAGGCAGAGCAGCGGCCGGAGATGCTGGTTGACGATGAAGACGATGATGAGACGCTGCCGCACTCAGAGGTGGTGGACGTGTTCCAAGAGGGTCTGGCCATGGTGGTACAGGACCCGCTGCTCTGCGATCTCCCAATCCAGGTGCGCTGCGAGGGGCGGCGGGACGCGGACTCTGTGGTCCTGTGCGCACTGAAGCCCCTAGCCTAGAGCAAACAAGACTGGCCCTTTGAGGGTCATGTTTCTTCATTTCACTTTTTCCTTAACCGCTGCCCACTTTGAACCTGCACCACTTTATAGTCTCAGAAACCCAATGAGAAATTAGCTTTGAGTTGGTTCCAACTAGATGAAAGTAAGAGAAACTGATTTGATTATAAATACCAAAATTCACCACCAGGGAGTTGGTTCTGACTCCTAGCGACACTCCATCAGGATTCTGATCTTTGGGAGTGGAGACTGTCCAACTTTCCCTTAACTGCTGACCTTTTAGCAGCCTGGCAAATTAAGCACTATCCCTCTGTTGTTGTTTTGTGCTATCAAGTCACTGTTGTTGTTATGTGCCGTCGAGTCGCTTGCGACTCATAGCGACTCTATGTACAAGAACTCTAAATCCTACTCTATCCTGTGCCAACCTCACTGTCGCTGACACACTTACTCCCACCACCCCAATCATTGAATCGATCCATCTCATCAAGGGTCTTCCTCTCCTGTGCTGTCCCTCCACTCTCCCAAACATGATGTCTCTCTCCAAGGACCAGTCCGTCCTTGCAACATGCCCAAAGTATGTCAGACGAATCCTTAGAATCCTTGACTCCAAGGAGCAGCCCGGCTTCACCCTCTCCAGGACAAACCTGTTTGTTCTCCTAGCAGTCCATGATATATTCAACACTCTTCTATAGTACCACAGCTCAAAGATATCAATTCTCTATCATCCCTAGTCACTGTCCAGCTCTCCGATGCACAGCACACAGTTGCAAAGACTATAGCTTGGATCAGGTGCACCTTAATCTCCAGCCTGTCAAGTCACTAGTGACCCTATTTACAATAGCTCTGAACTCTGCCCTGTCCTGAGCCTATCTCACTATCTCTGATACATCTAGTCCCATTACCCCAGTTACTGTGTCATTCTATCTCATCTAGGGTCCTTCTCTCCTGCGCTGTCCCCTCACTCTCCCAAGCATAAAGTCCTTCTGTCTGGGATCTTCCTCTCCGGCACTGTCCCCTCACTTTTCCAAGCATGAAGTCCTTCTCCTGGCCATGTGGCCCAAGTATGTGAGACAGAACTTCAAAATCCTTGCCTCCAAGAAGCAAGGATTTGACCCTCTCCAAGACAGACTATTCCCCTAGGACTCCATAATTATAGGTATGTTATTGTTGTTATGTACCATTGAGTCAGAACTGACCCATAGCCAGCCCTCCAGTGGGTTTTCAGAGTAAGGAAATGGAGATTGTACATCTTTCTTCTACTGAGCAGCTGGCAGATTAGAACTCTGTGCCTTTGGGCTAATGGTGCAATTCCTTATCGAAAAGCCACCAGCACTCCCTAATTAGGGGTCTAGGTGAGAACATTTCTTCTCTTTGCCAATCACACAAAACATGGGTACCCCTGTTTGGTCTTTGTCAGCTTGTATTGTTTGTTGTTTGGGGGACCATGAGAGGAGCACCTGGCCTTCATCTTTTCTAGGTAACTTTGGAAGAGGTCAATTCCCAGATAGCACTGGAGTATGGCCAGGCCATGACAGTCCGAGTGTGCAAGATGGACGGGGAGGTCATGCGTAAGTGATGCCTTACTCCACACAGCTGCCAGGGGTGTCAGGGCCATACTGCCCTTAGGCTCCCTACTGGCAGGCCCTTCCCATTTGTGTCCTGTTGCAGCTGTGGTGGTTGTACAGAATGCTACGGTCCTGGACCTAAAGAAGGCCATCCAGAGATATGTGCAGCTGCGGCAGGAGCGAGAAGGGGGCATTCAGCACATCAGCTGGTGAGTGGACCAAGATGAGCAGCAACTCCCAAGCCTATATGTACATACAACAGACATGGGCCCTCTGCTCTTCGGCCATGACTGAAGGGTGTGTGATCAGGCAGTTAGACCTTTTGTGGATTTTTTGTGAATTCTTGTCCTCCCTAAACATGCTATCTCTGTTCTGTCTCTGGTGCTGGAATCATTAGAGGTACTTGAAGTGGTCTCCCTGGTTATAAATAGCATAGTCTAGTCATGGCCACTCTTCTGTCACCTTCCTACTTGGCACTGGTGCATTTATGCACAGAGGGGTATCCCATGTGGCCTTTGCAACCTTTGTCTCCATGCAGCTGACTCAGGCCTAGTGTGCACGTCCTGTGGGAAGAGCCCTTGTTTCCCAAGTCTCCCTCTTGCAGGTCCTATGTGTGGAGGACGTACTATTTGACCTTCACAGGAGAGAAGCTCACAGACGACAAGAAGAAGCTCCGAGAGTAAGTCTCAGACATACCTTGAGCAGCTGGCAAAGGGTCTGCTTGCTGGCTCTGCCAGAGGGCAAGACTTCCTAAAATGTCCCTAGGTGTACTCCAGAGGAACCAGTCTCAGCCTACCCCACTGAAAAGATAGGCAGAGCCAGCTCCAGAGCCCTAGCTGTCATTGTGACCACATCAGGGTCCTTCTGCACAGGCTGGCTGGAGGGACAAGAGCTCTAGTGTTCCCCCCTCTTTTTTCATGAACTCCAGGTGAGAGTCACTTGTATTGGTCTATAGATCGGACACATCCTGCCTTTCTTTCTTTCTTTCAGCTATGGCATCCGGAATCGGGACGAGGTCTCCTTTATCAAAAAGCTGCGGCAAAAGTGAGTCCTGGTAAGGACAGAAGGATGGGGGCCAAGCCCCTTGAGGACACTGCCCTCGGCTACCTATGTCTTTCACCCAAAGCCACTTGCCACCTCACCTGACTGTTCTGCCTCCTTCCTCCACCATCTGGAATCAGCCGCTTCAGCTGAGGGCTCTTGGGGGAGCCTCACTCCCACTTACTAAGCACAGGTCTAACCCCCTCCTAAGGCCCAAATCTGACCACGTGTGTGCCATGCAGGGTCATGGGCATGTTTTTTTTACACAAAATAAACATGTTTGCTCTTTAGTTTGAAAACAGTCACAGTATCCTGGGCAGAAGGGATGGGTGATGCATGATTAGGGGTGTGAGAAGAGGGAGCAGGTTGGAAGAAGTAGACCCTGAAGTCCTACATGGCTGTGTCTATACCATGTGGTTGGTCACATGGTATCCCAGATTACACACTCTTCCTGCCGTGATCTCTACAGTAAAGGGAACAGATAGAATGGCTGTCTTTGTTCTGAGGACTAGGTCAGAATCCAGCCCTCAGAGCCTGCCTGGTGAAAATGGGAACAAAACTGCTGTTGGATGGGCTGAGGTCAACGTCATTGCTGGGGCACACCACCCCACTCCACCATCACCTGCCAAACACCAAAGAAGGGAAGCCTCACATACACCCAGCCAACAGCCTTTCCTGTAAAGTCACTCAGCCAAACCAAGGAGGAGGCAGCTATGATCAAAGTAATGGCAGCTAAAACGCTCCCGTTGGTTTACTAGCCACATGAGGTGGTTGTCAAGAAACTAGTTAGAAAGTGATTATGGACACTAGTGTAACAAACACAGCGGCATAAGGAGTCCAACAAAAGTGAACAAGGCACAGAGGTCTGAGTTCAGAAACACGAGGGTCCCGCCAGCAGGTGAGGGCAGGAATGGCCTTGGCGCCAGCTCCGGACCTGCTGGAGCATGGCCGCGGCCCCCAGGCCCCAGGCTAGCTAGTGCAGCTGGGCGTCCAGCTCGTACTTCTCGCAGAACTTGTCGGTGAAGGGAATGCAGGTGAGGAACTCACACCACTCACAGCGCACCGGGTAGAAGTAGAAGAGAACCACCAGACCGGCCAGCAGCCCCAGGAACACAGCCTGGAAGACGATGATCTGGCAGCGCTTGCGGTACAGGTCAAACTTGCCAAAGCTGATATAGGGCAAGAAGGCAAAGGAGAGGAAGAGGCCACTGACAAAGCCGGAGATGTGGGCAAAGTTGTCGATCCAAGGCAACAGCCCAAAGGCAAAAAGGAAGAGCACCACGGCCAGCAGCTTGAAGAAAGCCCGCCAGGGCCGAGCCAGGATCTGCCAACTCTGGAACAGCTCCACAAAGAGGCAGGCCAGGATGCCGAACTGCGAGCCAGCTGGGCCCACCTGTGGGACAGCAAGGCACCTGAGCAGACCCAGGCCTCATCTCATGTCCCACCTCCCTGGCCTGGAGCCTCTCACAATCAAGTCTGGGAAAGACCCCCAGAGGGCCCCGATCTTCTACTGGATGTGGAGTGTGGGCAGGGCAGCTCACCTCTGCCCGGTATGGTAGGAAAATGGCACTGGCCAGGTTGCCAGTGATGCCACTGAGCAGATAAATGATGGAGATGCGGTGCCAGCCCGCCAGCTTCTCCAGGTCCCGCAGGATGGTCATCTGGAAGCAGACAGACACCAGGCAGTGCAGGATCCTGAGTGGAGGAGGGGACAGTCAGCAGGGCTGGGAGGAGACTGCTCTCTTCACCTGACTGATCCCCTGCAAACCCTACCCTATCCAGCAAGTCACTTGCCCTGCGTGCAAGAAGAGGGACAACCACAGGCGGTAGAACTGGTCTGGCACCTCAGGGTTGAGGAAGGGCAGGAGGCCACACACGTCATCCATACAGTGTACCTGCACAGAGGAGCGGTCAGCACCCGTGTGAGGGCCGGGGGCTCACCCTCTGTCCCAAAACCTACCTGAGAGCACAGCGTGGCCTCCTCATGGAAGTACCCCCTCATGAAGTCACAGTATTCCCGGGAGGTAATCTCACACCTGAAAAGTCAGGCCAGTGGTAAGACCATGATCCCCACATCAGAGAGGAGCCACTGAGGCACCAGGGGCAGAGGTATACCCCACCCGCCCGCCTTTCATGGCCACAGAAGTCCAGACTTTCAGCTCCACTCCTCTCTAGAAATTCCATGCATATTGGTCCTGTACATACACCCATGTCACAGGCAAATTCTCATCCTGCAAGTTATGCACATATACACACAGGTGGCTATGAACACAAATGCATCACATCTGCGCTCAGATCTGCAACGCAGCTATACACTCACACTTGTATATACACACCCATGCACTCACACATACTGCCATCACGTAGCTCATTCTGCGTGTGTACACCCATGTATGTGAATACGCAGAGGCTCACACATGCACACAACCCACACGGACACTCCCTATAGACACATGTACGCACCTGCCCTTGGTGCCAATGCAGCAGGGACGGCCCGTGATGACACAGTCCATGTGGGGGTGGTTGGTGTGGTTCCCAGCGCTGCTTTTAGTGCAGATCTGGATCACAGATGGGGATGAGCTGGAGTTGGCTAAGGGCCTCCCCCAGCCCTAGGCCCCTCACCAAACTGGGGAAGACAGGCTTGTAGGTAGGAAACAGGCCTCCCTCAGCTTCAGGAAGGCTGCCACACCTAGGCCCCAACTGGCCTATCTCTGTTAAGACCATGCCACCTGACACCCATGTCTGTCTGCCTCACTCAGACCAGGGAGCCAAGATGGGGCCTTAGTGGTACTGCTGGTGGGTAAGGTGTGGCTCCCAACCCCTATACCAAAGGTGACACCCCAAGACCTCTACTCACTGGCCACTTGGTGATGTCATCAGGCCATTCATGGGGGTCCTCAGAGGAGGGCTCATCACACACTCTGCACAAGTACATCACTTGGTCACTTCTAACCCCAGACAGGCCCACCCTCCTGTGGGGTAGGTGGAGCCCTGGGGACTAACCTGGGGTCTTGGTGACAGACTGAGCCAAACTGCCTCTTGTGACCAGCAAGGTCTGGGGCACTGGGGTGGACAGGCCACTTAACCCAAACGGCCAATGTGGACTGTCAGAGAAACAGGGCTCAGAGTTAGAAAAACTGCTCAGTTCTCCCCTAGAGGGCAGCCTCGCACCCTCTGACCCTCCCCCCCCCCCACCTCTAGGGATTTATACTCTGGAATAAAACATGGTTTTAAAGTGGGAGAGCTTTTCGACAGCATGTGATAGATGAAAATCAGAAAACTGTCCAAAATCAGGGATCTGATATAGACTTTACACGTCAAAATCAAAATATGGTTGGATCTTTTAAATTAGGGGTGGGGGAATACTTAATGAAAAAATAATACATTTGTGCAAAGGAGGTGCATACACACAACTGGGATGCATGCTGAAAGGCAGATCCCAAATCGGAAGATGAACATTCAAGTGGTAATGATAAGGGGTGCACTGGAGAAGTTTGGGGAGCAAGGCGGGCGAGGCGCTGCACCATGAGGACGCAGAGCAGCGACAGGAAGGAGAACAGTGGCACACACCGAGCACTCCTCCTCCGAGGTCTGCACACAGCCAGAGCGGTCATTGCGCACACAGCAGGCGGAATGCCTCTCCCGCTCCCGAGCTGCCTGGATGAAGCTGTGCACCTGCGGGTCCTGGCGCATGCAGGGTGAGAACTTGGCGCCCAGGTGGATGAGGGCCTCCTGCAGGACAGCGAGTGGGACATGGAGCTGCAGCCAGGTCCCCGGAGCCCTGCCAGTCCTCCCGCTGGGCTCACTGCCCTCACCGAGCTGGGCCCAATCCAGAAGTTCTCCTGCTGCACGTACTTGACGTTCTCGTAGACGCCGCGGTTCCGCAGCACCTGTGTGAAGGATGGGGGCAGGTCAGGCACACCTATTGGGCCCTCACCTTCCAGGAGCCAGAAAGGGTTCAAAGTCCTGGCCCACATATCAGCTCAGGGGAAGCAAATCTCTCACCGAGTCTACGGTCTCATGCTGCGAGAAGCCCACTGGAGCGATGCCATAGATGCAGACGGCCAGGATGGTGACCAGTGAGTGCACGAAGGTGAGCCAGTAGGTGAAGAATGGCCTGGGGGGCGGAGCATCAGTGGACCCCGTCCATGCCCACCCTCGCCCCAGGCACCACCTCGTCTGTCCACCCAGCTACCTGTGGTCGTCCATGTCCTCGATCTGACGCTTGACGTAGCTGTCGATGCGCTTGCGGTAGGTGCGGTTGGTGAGCCGGCCCACCATGCCCAACCCGTACGGCCGCTTCTCCCGAGCAAAGAGCTTGCGCACTGGCACTGCGATCCGCTGGCCCCTCCGCGGCCCCGCCGTGCTCACCACCTCTTGCCGAAGCCTCACTTTGGGCTGGGGGACCGCAGAGCCACCGTCCTTCTGCTTCCGCCAGCCGCGCTCCAGAGGCCTAGGGGGTGCTGCTGTCAGTTCCAACCCGGCCCCCGTGTGTTCCTGTCCCCCTTCCCCCCCAGGACCGGAGAGCCTTCTCTCTGTCCTGCCTCTTCTGAATGTGAAGCAACAGCATGGGAAGGTCATGGAGGAGGGAACCAGAAGCCAGCTCAAGACCCCAAGTGTCAACTCAAGTTCTCACTGGTCATCTCCAGTGGCTGGTCCCTGGAACTGCGGGGTTCCCGCTTCTTCAGGGGGCAGCCAAAAGTGTCTGCACTCATTCTTGCCTCGCTGGCCATGATGGTCGGCTGGCTCCCAGTTACAACGCCTGTCCTTCCCTGGGCCTCCACGCAGCGCACAGCTCAGCAGGTTGTCTGAGGACCCCCAAAACTCACAGCATAAGATGGCTGCGCTCCAGCTCGCTGCGCTCCAGGGCCCCACCAGTGAGGTCCGCCTGCTCCGGGGCCTTCTCCCAGTCCTTGAGCGCCGCCTCCGACGGGGACTCAAACACCTCATCCGCGTAGGTGGACAGCTCCTCATGGAGGACCCCTTCCTGAACGAACACGCACGGTCAGGGCACGGAGGAGCAGAGTGGCACGGGCAGCACCTCCACAAGGTTCTTACCCGGGCAAAGAAGGACGTGTCCAGCTCGTCCGGGAAGTCAGCCGTGTCCTCCTCCAGGAAGCTGGCAGGAGTGAAGCTACGGCGCTGCGCCCTGCGTGCTGCGCCATCTCTCACCGAACGACCCTGCGTGAGGTTAAAATAAAAAACAAACTCACACTTTATTAACTCATCAGAGGCTGAAAATCGCATTGGGGAAAACTGGCCACCTTCCTCCCTCAGAGCAGCTAATTGATTCTAACTGCCAGAGAGGCAGTCACCTTTGGGTCAGAGGCACACCTCCCTACCTCTCCACTAGGCAGATAAGGGGGTGAAGGAAAATGGAGTTGGATGGGGGAAATACCCATCTTAGCTCCTCACCCAACCTCCTCACTTCTCACACATAACACACACACTGCACACCTTCATTAGCGCCGCCGCTGCCCGGAAGCTCATTTTGGCCACCGACTCTCGTTTCCGCCGCCGGGGAAGCCGGTTGAAGCCTGAACGGGAGCTGGAGAAGGAACAGAGGGAGGCTGCTCCCGGTGTGATGGGCGTGTGTGGGGCGCTCAGGCCATCTGAGGTATCCTCTGGCAAGCGGAAGGCTCTGCCCCTGGCCAGGGGGTCGATGATCTGCAGGGAGGGGAGATGGCTGAAGTCAGGGGCTTTAATGAGCACCGAGAAAAGTGCCTCAGTAGTATGGCCTGCTTAGACAAAGGTTAGCTGTGTGGGCCTCCTCTCTCCCATAGTGCAAGGGGGTCCCTCTCCCAATCAAAGGGCTTTTGGGTACACTCCCTGGACCCCGTGTCCTCCTTCAAGGCCCGTTCCTCTGTGCCTGCCCACCCCAGACCATGCACTTCAGCTAGCCTCCTTAGCCCCAGTGTGGAGTTCCACAGCCCAGAGGGGCTCTCCAGGGGGGCAGCAGCAGCGGGCCACACCTTCTGCATGCCCAGCTGGCACGGCCCCACGTACAGCGGGGGCGGCGTCTCGGTGCTGGCCAGTGAGACGTTGTCCTGGCTGGGCAGGTCCAGCTCCCGGATGACCTGGGGCTTCAGCTTCCCATAGCGCTGGCTGCAGTGTCGAATGCTCTTGCGTTGCCATTTCTGGGTGCTGTCACTGTCCTTGCTCACTCCAAACCAGTCAGCTGTGCCCCTGCCACATGAGGGCCTCAGTACTGGGCTGCCAGACCCCCCTCCCCAGGCCCCCAAGCCATCCTCTGGCCATGTGGCCTCACACCAAGTCTGACCACTCTTGGGACAGAGGCCAAGGGAACAGTCTAATTAAAAGGAGTGAAGTGTGAGTTCAAGCCGGGGTTACTCCACTAAGCAGCAGCCGATTCTCAATTCCTACTAGCAGGCAGACCTTGTACAGTTATGCATGTCAATGAATCCTTACTCATCCTGAGACAGAGAGTTGCTGGGGACCCAGGCCTTAGATCGGCCTGAGGACCCAGCCCAGACAGCAGCCAAGACCAAAAACATCACAAACTCGGACAGCAGCCGCTGCAGCCTGGGAAGGCTGCCCACACCACTCAGACATGCAAACGGAAACACCTGTAGTTAAGGATCCCAGGGCCCTCCAGCCATGTCAGCAGTTCCCAATAGCTACACACCATGCACACTTCAGTACAGCATGCCCTGCGGTACCTGAGCAGGGACCGAGAAAGAGACCGGCGCTGCAGGAGGGCCCTACGCGCAGCCCGGGGACCCCAGACCGGCAGAGTGTGGACACGCTCAAAGCGCACCTGTCGGCTGCTGGGAGGAGTCCCAGTAGTGGAGGTGGGGGAGACAGAGAAGAGCATGCACTGAGGGGAGCAGAAGAGGAGGGGCGCAGTGGGTGCTGGAGGAGAAGAACTGGGTGAGCCTGTCTCCACCAGCTGCCTACCCCAGAGAGTGCTACCTGCGGATGGTCTGTGTGATGGACGCCTGGCGGTGCAGCATAGGCCTCCGGGGCTCCGGGTGGGGCGAGGGCATGCGGGCGGTCTCTGCTGGTAGGCTCACACTCCTTAGGAAAATCTGGCGCCTCAGAGGCTGGGAAAGGGGTCAGGATGAAGGGCTGCAGTGGGGGAGAGGGGAGCACCCCAGCCCCTTATGGCCCAGGCTTACCTGCAGAAAGTTGGGCTCCTCCATGGCCGGGGCCGCCACAGCCGGGATGTCCAGCTTCAGCCACGGTGGCTTCTTTCGCTGCAGGCTGCTGGTGCTGTCCCTTCGAGCCTCACTCATGGTTTCAGTGAACTGGGGGGCGTATGTGGCAAGCCTGGGGCACAGGGTGCACAAGGCTCAGGAAGGACATCGGAACTCTGACTACTGAAGCTTGAGAGGGATGGAGGGAGAGGAGCATTGATTCCCAGGAGAACAGGACTTCTGCGGAGCCCAGCTACTCTCTGTCAGGTCCAAGACCACGTGGCATGGCATAGCTGACCACATGCTATGAACCAGACTTTGTTCCCACGTGTTTGCAACATACGGTTGGCCAAAACAGCAGAACCAAAACACCCACTCCTAGCGACCCTTGAGACGGAACAGAGCTGTCCCTAATTGTTTCTGAGGCTGTAAATCTTTACAGAAGAGCAGAATGTCTGCCTCATGTTCCTCCAGGAGTGTTTTAGATAAAACTGCATTTGTTAATATTATGTTCAGAACCTCAGCAAACCAATTCGGTGCTGAAGGCAGGCCCTGAAGACGAGGGCGTGGCCCACGAGGGCGGTGACAGGCAGGGCGTGGCCTCCCAGACAGCGCAGCAGGTGGAGGCACAGACTCACTCAGAGTTCGCCCGCGGAGCCACTAGGGTGCAGATCCCTCCACTACCACCAGGAGGCGCCCAGCAAGGGCAGCGCATCCTCCTCACTCCATCGGCCCAGACCCAGCCAAACACGTCACCCAGTCACACACCCCTATCCTGTTCCAGCCTCCGGGCATCTCAGGCCCCTCACCCCCGCACAGGTGACTACAACAATTACAGTGAGGTCTCTTACTGAGACACACACCCCCCACCAAGGCCATGTGTGTGCTGTGGAGCCTCCTGGGTAAATGCCAGGCATTGGACAGAACTGAGACTTCCTTAGTGGTTCAGTGGCTTCACTGTGTTCAAGTTGCCTGAGACAGGTGGGCAGGGCCTCCACTGAGCCTTGATCCCACAGCCCAGGCCTCCCCAAAAGAAACATGTGACACAGCCCTAAAAAGCCACTAGGGCTTTGTGAAGTGCAGAGGTGAGGAGGGGCTGTTCGCTGCTGGGGATCACAGACAAGGAGCTGCCAGCCACCCCTTAGGGCTTTCAAGTCTCCAGACTCAAACCCACAGGGCCTCTCCTTGTTCACATCTCCTCTTGCCTTAGGGCCTTGTCTCTGCTACACCCCTGCACACACCAAGGGCTCCCTGATCCTAGAGGGCTGGGCAAGAGAGGCTCCAAAAGGAGATGACACTTCCTGCGGCCTGGGAGGAGAAGCTGACTGGCGTGGTGATCGGCGGGGGGGGGGGGGAGCGCATGGGGAGCTCTCAGAGAACACTGAGAGGATCTGGGGTTGCAGGGAATCAGTGTCTGGTACAGCCCAGAAGGCAAGGCCCTGCCTGCACCCATACTATGCCTCTTCCCCACCCTCATAATCCTGGAGGAGTGGCAGGATTTGTGGGGACTGGTCAGCTCCACCCCTGTGTGTCCAGCTCCCCAATCTGGTCCCCGTGTGGGTGGATTTTGTGGAGGTGGGGTCGCAGTAACAGAGTGGGCTGCAAGCAGGCGGGGGGAGGCCCAAGTGGACAAAAGGGCTGGGCTGCAAGGGCGCTGCCCGAGGGACAGTAGGCTCAGTGTCCGTCTCCTTCTGCCACAGTAGAGTCTTGTTTCAGGCAGGCTTTTGTGGGGAATTCCAGCCGGATCACCACAGCACCAGAGCCATGAGGCCACAGGCTGCTGACCCATCAGGGCAGGGACGCACAGCTCACCCCCACCAACCCCTGCCACCAGCTAGCCTGCCTCAGAGGCTGAGGAGGGTGTGTGTGCAGGGAATGAATGCTAAGGTGTAGCCCAGTCCATGGAGGCATGGAACTGTGAGTACAGGGGGCTCTGATAACATGGAGTGCAGAGAAAAGGCCCCAAGCCTAGGGACCGCAAGGTCTCAGGCTGTGACACAAGGCTTTGTGTGAGAAAGTCAGCCCTGAGTGGACTAACTCAGAAAGGGTTACTGCAGCCATGAGGTCAGTACCTGAGGGCAAGGAAAGGGTACAGTGGATAGGACCATTCAAGTAGATTGTGTAGAGAATGAACCCAAACAGCAACACACAACACCACCTTGGCCCTCAGACACCCGTGGGGTTCTTGGCCTGCTTGCCACAGGTGCCTCCCATAGGTGCCAGTAAACCCAGTAAACTGACAGCAGAAAGGCTAGGGCTGACTGTGGGTGCTGGAAGAGGGGTGGAGACAGGGGCAGGGCCAGGGTGACAGGTGTGAACCCAGGGGAGGCCCAGGGAATGGGATCCTCCACTTCATGTCTAAGAGGCAGGTGCTGGGATAGGCAAGTCCTGTCCTGTCCCCTCATAGGTAGAAGCTGCCACCCAGGGTTCCAGCCTTCCCACAGGGCGATTCCCCAGGGGTGGCTAGAGGCCGAGTGGATGGCCCAGCCCCAGGGGACCGTCTGCTATGCCACTGAGGTCAGATAGAGTGATGGCCCCACCCCAGGACACTTGCCCAGACATGTCCTCAGTTCACCCAAGCTGTCCCCAGAGGGGCTAATTCCTTGGGTCACCTCGCTTGCACCCCATCTCTATCTAATCTTGACTTCTATTTAATGCCTGATCTGACCCCCAGCCCTGGCTCCCCTTTCGGGTGGAGCCCAGGCCTTCACCCAATTGCTGTGCAGCTGAGGAAAGTTCACGGATCTCGCTGAGCCTCAGTCTCCTCACCTATAAATGGCATTTTGGGGGGGGGGGGGGGGTAGAGGGAGTTAAGATGCCCTCTGCGAAACTTTGTCTCATTTTCTTTGGTCATCTTTGGCCTCTCCTCGGAGAGGAGCATCATTCTTGGAAAGGTGGAGGGTCAATGAAAGAGAGGGAGACCCTCTACAAGATGGATTGACACAGTGACTGCAGCAATGGGCTCAAATGTGTCAGAGACATTGAGGATGGCAAAGGTTAGGACAGCGTTCAGATAAATCTGTGGTTCACTATGAGTCATACTTGACTTGACAGCACCTAACAACAACTGTAAACACCTAACCCCAACCCAGTGCCATGGAGACCGTGTAAGAACTGCCCCAGAGAGTTTAGGATGGTGGAAGTCTTTATGGAAACAAACTGCCTCATTGCTATCCTGAGGAGCAGCTGATGGGCTCCGACTTTATAGTAGCCAAATGCTTTAAATGCCGATCTCCCTTTTGCCAACCTGATTTCATTCAAATGAACTAGGAACCCTAAAAGAGGGTCACGTCTGCTGTTCTGAGCAGAGGATGCACCAGCTAGGAGGAGGGGCAAGTCACTAACCACCCTACCCACAAGGACCCAGAGGTCTAGAAGGTCAGAATGGAGACCCCTGACCTCCATGAGGGCCTATCTGAAGGGCAGGATCCTGCCCAGGCCTCATAGCCAGCAAAGCAAGGAAGTGGGGCTAGGACTCCAGGGCAGATTCCGGGAGGCCAGCCCTCTGAGATGCTTTGGATACCCAGTCTAAAGTGTGGCTAAGCTCTGGGGCTACATGAAAGCTGGATCAGGTCTGGAAGCATCTTGACTGTGCACATAATTGCTCTCTCTTGGGGGGCCCTAACAAGATCCAGTCCTTACAATGGCCTCAGCCCTTACCCTGCCTGACCCAGGTGAAACTACACTGACCCTAAAGGGATCATGTCTGTAAGGAACACAAGTCACAGACTTCCCATAGGGGGTAAAAGCTTGATGCTATATTCTCCTGGGGTCTGAGTGAAAAGAACACTATTTGCTGGTACTGCAGACCCCCAGACTGCCTGGGCTACTCAGTCTCAGGCCCCCTGCCTCCCCACTCTTGCCACTTTCTATCAGGGACATCTCAGTTGAGAAGGCCAGGCCCAGCAAGCAGGCCTGTCTCCAGCCAAAGCAAGGAATTCGAGCTGAGAGACAAAGCTGTTACAGATACAGAGTAAGGGCAGAGGAGTAACCAGAGCCAGTGAGGGGTGTCTCACATCTCAGGGAGGGGACTGAGGCCCCACAGGAGCAACTGAGGACCCACTGGGGCTGGGAAGATCGTGGTATGAAGGCAGTAGGGAACCAATGGGGCTCCAATAAACCAAGCACCCCTCAGCCTCCTCCCCAAGGCAGGGGAGAGTGCCTAAAAGCTTCAGGGTGCTCGAGGAGGGTAGTGGTTGATGAGGCCATCAATCTGCCTGTATGACAGCAGGGTCTGGGCAACTGAAGGAGACTGAGTGGATGTGGTGTTTGGAGGGGACCCTCTACCCTCATCTGTGCTTTCAGTCTGAGGCCAGCAGTCCCAGTGCCCTACTCACTCCAGCTGCGGCTCCAGAGACTGATTTCGTGAGAGTAGTTTCCACCTCAGGGAACCCCCCTCACCCCACAGACAGGTCCTGAGACTCCCAGTTGCCTCACAAGTTTAATACTGAGGACCAGGGGGCTGGCTCCTGGGGGTGGGGAGATCCCAGCAGGGGCTGCCCCAGCATCAGCCTCCTTCAAGCTGAGCCAAACCTGAAAAGCCAGTTTCATCTTCAAATCTGCTGTCTCCGCCAGGAAGTCCCAAGGTAGGGGGAAATGGGTTCCCACGAGGGGGTTGGGGCCTCCAGGACCAGGCTCCACCCACCCAGGCAGACACACGGATACACAGCTGCACGACTGGAGGGCCGGACCATCCTGGTCAGCACTATCTGGACGCAGGCCTGGCACGAGTTGGGGTCCCAAAGACATGCCCCCAGCAGAACAAACAGCCGGCCAACGGGGTCCAGCTGTCTGCTTGACACAGGGTTGTCTACAAAGCACTGGGCAGTGTGACCTAAGGCTCAGGCAGGGCATGCTGCCAGTGGTCTGGACGGAAGGGTCTGGGGAGGTGCTCCAGGCGCCTGCGTTTGGTGTTGACAGATGGGGGCAGGGGCTGAGGCCGGAAGGCAGGTCCACTCCCCCAGCCTGGGTGGCCCTCCTCTTGCTAGATACTCTTCTCTCAGTTGATCCCGGAAAGTTCCACCCTCTAAACTGGAGTTTCAACCAGGAGACGCCGCCCGCTGCGGCCGGAAGGGAAACGGGGGGGGGGGGGGTGGTGTTGAGGGGTGCCAGCAATGTTGGGACATCCCCCGGCTCCGATCCCTCCCGCTGCCCAGGACCCTCAGCTGTTGGGCGGGGGCAGGAGCCGAGCTGTCCGGCCCGGTCAGGCCGCTGGGACGTGCTAATCCGGCCAAAGGCTATTTTTGCGGCGCGCCGGTCCGGGAGGAATCCAGCGAGGCTGGGCCGCCTCCGCGGGCTGCTGGGGAACTCCAGGAGGAAAGTCTGCGCTGGCCGGGTGGGGACTCGCCGCAGTTCGTACCCCGGATCCTGGCCCGGACCCCAGGCCCAGTCCCAGACCCCCGATCTCCGACCCCGGGCCCAGGATTCTGAATCTTGGATCTCGGACCCGGCCCAGCCCTCTGCGCTCGGAGCCACCTCGGGACCGCGCGGGGCGGAGGACCGGCCCCGCGCGGAGAGGGTGCAGCCCCGGATCCCGCTCGGCCGCCCGCCCCGCAGAGTCTCGCCGCACACTCACCGCCGCCGCCGGGGGTCTTGGATCCTGGGAGGGGCCGCCGCCGGCCGGGAGGGCGCCCGCGCCGAGTCCCCGCCCGCGCTCCCGTCCGCCCGCCCGGGAATGCCATGGAGCGAGGGGCGTGCGCGCCGGGGGCGGGCCCGGCCGGAGGGGGCGGCCTCGCTGACTCAAGATTCAGGAATGCGGGAGGGCGCACCCCCCAACCCCTGTCACCACCTCGAAGAAGGCTGCCGGCCTGCAGTGGAGGGACCCACAGGTCCACCTGTAGCTGGGGCGGGGATCACCTGGGAGGAAAGGTCTGGTGGCTCAAAATCCAAGTTCTCTCCAACTTCAAGTCAATCTCACCCTCTGATCTGCGGACACAAACCTGGTGGCAAGGGGAAGGGATTGATTGAGTCTCCTCTATACGCAGTACACTGACAAGTCCCCACCTTGTTCCACACAACCCAGCCCCATACGAACACGCGTACGGGAACACTCACCTACACAACTACACACACAGGCTCACGCTCATGCGTTCACTCACTTGCACATACTCACATAGCACTCACACCTGCACATGCTTGTACATGCACTCACACCTGCACACCATAATCACACACATGTGCACTCACACCTGAACACTGTAATCGCACATGCGCATGTGCACTCACCTGCACACTGTAATCACACACGTGCACACACGCTTGCACATAGCAATTGCACACATACGTGCATCACACCTGCACACGTACACTCACACCCGCACACAGTAATTGCACAGGCTCACGTGCATGATCACCTGCACGCGGTAATTGCACACACCTGTGCATCACGCCTGCACGCAATAATTGTGCACACACACGTACACTCCTGCACACAGTAATCACAGTAGGTGTACACGTAGTACACCTACTCACTTCTGCACACACACACACTCCTACACTCATGCCTGTGCACAGTATTCACTCATGTACACACATACCTGCACACCCGCTCACATCTACTCCCAGTACTGTGACTCTTGTGTTTACCTCAACACGCAGTCATGCATCTGCGCATAGACACACACACAGTTCACACACAAGTGTGAAAGTGGCCCTGACTCTCCACTCCCAGGGCACAGAATCACACATGTCCCTTCCTCCCCTGGAAGTCTTCACATGTCCCTGGAATTGTCACGGGATGTGCTGGATGTGATGAAGACTGTGATGGCCAGGTGTGGTTCCAGCCCAGGTGCACAGAACAGTGTGAACAAGTGCCAGGCAGAAGTGCAAGCTATGTGCAGTCCATTCAAGGGGGCCTCGCCTGGGGCATGGACTTACTCTGAGTTGTGGATACAGGGCCACCTTTCCTGCTTCTGACAACATGGGAGGTTCACAATCAGGTGGCAGTGATGGACATCCACTGGTCACAGGGTGGGGCCTGTTTTCTCATGGGCAAATGGACATGGTGGTGCTGCACTCAGGACATATCCACAGCTGAGCCTGACCTCCGTGATAAAAATTCAAGGCATTCAGGGGTGACTACCAGCCATGAGAAACTGCTCCTGTGGTCCCAGGTGCTACCCTCTCATGCCAGGCTCTTGGCCAGAGGCAGGACAATCCCCATGCTAAGCATTTTCAGTCCTGCCAAGGATGATCTTCCACGTGGCCTGGATGCCCAGACAGGCGGCAGACAGAGCGGGCTGGCTGGTGGTTCCAGTTCACCATGGCCAGGGCTCACCTCCAAGGCCACAGGCTGGCCTCCAGCAGGGCCCGTCCATGAGGAGACTGAAGCATCAGCCTCACTGGAGGTTGGTGGGGTCCTCAGTGGAGGTCTGCTTGGCACCCTCACCAGGAAGGAGGTATACGTGTCCAGAGAGTGGCAGAAGTCACCCAAGTTGATTTGAGGGTGTCCAAAGGAACACCTGATCCCTTGACATCCCCCCCCCCGGAACTGCACCCCTGCATACATCCTCTGTCTGGCTCTCCCTGAGCGGGGATTCAAGGAGCAAATGGAGGTCTGAGCCCAGTAAACACAGACACACATATGCATAGGCATTTGTGCTGTCTCATAGCTGCCCCATAGGTACCCAAGTTCTGGTGGAGGTACCCCAACTTGGACACGTGCCCATTTCTCTGTTCTCACTTCTGAGACCCCGGAAACATGGTCCTATGAGACAAGAGGGACCACCCCTGAGTTCTTGGGGCTTATTCAAGGATAGTTGTTGTTGTTATGTGCCATCGAGTCGCTTGCAACTCATAGCGACCCTATGTACGAGAGCTCTAAATG